TGAGAAAACTTACTGCATGAACTATATTTTGTTTATACATATGATATGAGTTTTATGTCACTGATTAATCTCTGTGAGTTAATTGATCAAGTGATTTTGTGCTCTTGTGTAAATTAGGTTTGATTGGGTCATTATTGTGAATGGAAAGAAGGAGAAAATAGCTTCAGGTTTGTTCAACCCCTTTCACTGCCACTTGAAGGTTGCTCAAGATCAAATGGCAAAGGTTGGTTATTCAATTGTTCTTGTGCCTGAGCACGAAAGCGATGCCACATGGTTTTCCAGAGGAAATATTGAAAGGTATGGTTTGTTATCATAATTTTTTATTTGTTGATAACTTAGATTGGCATATCTTGGAATCATTGTTGTTAAATAGCAGTTATAGCTATTGTACTATAATGTAGCGGAGTTTGATCACATCCTTATTGTTTTTTGTTATGCTACTTAGTACAATGTGTTCTCAAATAATGGCTCTACAACATTGTAGCATACCAGAATTTTAACAAACCACCATTTCTCTGATCTGCATTTGACAACATTATTTGGAATTTGAATTGATAGTGGTGTTTTTAGGCAGTACTTAATTTCTCACAAATGAGCGTGTTGAACTAATTTTCTCGGCTTTTATAGGTTTGTTCATTTTGTGAGCACACCTGAAATACTGTAACATGTATATATTATAAAATCCGAAATCTTACAAATTGAAGAGGCAATTGCAATTCAAGGAAATAATTCTTTTGGGATTAGCATTGTACTATCTTGGTAGAAAATTATGAAGCCAATGAAAAGTTGCCCAGGCTTCATAATTTTTCTGGCTCCGCCACTGATTTCGCACGTTGCCTTTTGTCCACTTGGATATTTTTATGATCTTGCCTTTTTCATTTGTCCACTTGGACTTGTTATTTTGTTCTTAAAACATTAATAATATAACTTGAATATTAAAATATTTAAGGCTCTTTATAGACTATTGGTTACTATCTTTGACATTTTGGAGTTATGGATCTCTTGGACTTAGGATTAGAAGCTTTGATACTTTGAGACCTTGAGACCTTTGGATATTGTGTTACTTCATTGTTATATTGCTTGTGTATTGGGAAATCTTATGTGTACAGGTGTTGTTATGTTAGCCTTAATTGATCTATATAGCACATGGCTCAATATCGAAGAACTTGCTTTGGGGTTTAATACCTTGGGTTTCTTTTATACTTCTTTACTTGTGATTTATTTTCACATTGATGATTGGTATGCTCTTGGTTTATTCTATGCATGTGGATTTAATCCATGGGATGGGAATTTTACATTGACTTCATTGTGTCAAGTGTTTACTTCTTGTTGGTTATACCTCTTTATCTTAGATTTTACTTTATGCTTTAGGATAGTCTCTTCATCTCCTCCCATTCTTCTTTAATTTTCAAAATCTTCTCCCTTTTTCAAAGGATTCTTGTTTTCTAACTTGAACTGCTTTCATAATAAACTTGAACTTGTGTTCATGCATTTTTAAAACTCTTTTTATCAATTAAAAACTTAATTCATTTAATCATACTTTGACATATTTTTGAAAGACTAAAAGTCACTAACCTCATTCAAACTTTTTGTGCCTTGGTGCACTTTTTATTTTAACCTTTTCAAAAAGTTTAAGATATTAGTCTTTTCTTTGAGTGTTTGTAAACCTCACCACTTTAACAAGCATGGTAATACTTAAGTAACTTTTCACTTGTATGATGAGACTTGCACTGTTGAATTGGTCCAGGTTAAAAGTTCTCCATATTTAAGATGAAGCAAGTTCTCTTTTTA